GCTGCATCTGGCCCCTGGGCCGCATTTTGCCCACCCCTGTTTTAAAGGGATCGCTAACATGATGGATGACTGTATCACAGTAGCATTTACGAAGACTTTTATTATCTTCACCATCTAGCCGAACTGTCCATTTATTCTAGACACAGACCTAGCTTCTGTTACTAGAGCCTTTGTCATCTCGGGCTTAAATAACTGCAATGCAGGACACATTGGAACAGCTCAAATTAGCCTGGATATGCCAGCTGTCTCAGAATGGGGCTGCCTGCTTATTCTTCCATTAGGGTTCTTAATGTGTTTATTAAGTTGTGCATCTCTGAGGGAACACATGGCATCAGTGCTCAGTGATTTTCAAAGCAGAATAAGAAGTATTGGCCTTAACCCGTAAAATGTTAAATGGCTTCCAACCCAACTGCTTAAGTCTGCTTCTTTCCATGAGTTATACTGCCACCTGCGCAATCAAAGGAAGTGCTACAGCCCCCATTAATTTAAAAGGGAAGAAACTGCCGGCAGGGTAATTTTGGTATTCTCAGCTAGAGCTTGGCAATTCAATGGATATTGTTTTAAAACACTTGTACATCTTCTCCTGTCTTGTTTTAATTGTACAAGAAAAACAGATATACCAAGTTACTTACCACATGCTTGGCATTCAGCTATGGTATTTCTCAGAAAAGTTGTTTCCTTCACCTTTAGGATATAGAGAATGAGTACTGATTTAGATCTGGATAGCTCTAATTTGCCCCTGCCTGCCAACAGTACCATGTTATTTTATCCTGATGTCAATAAAACCATCACAGATACAAAAGGGATCTTTCAATGACATAGTTTTACGCCAACAAAGCTCAAAAATCCAAGCACTAGGTTCACAAACATTTCTAGGCCTCTGTATGGATGACTGGTCTATACTGGTGTCCACAAGGCTACACATGGTAGTAAGTATTATAGCCATGATTAACAAAATGCTTACACACAAGCTCAACCGTAGGCATGAGTTTAAGTCACATTGCCTTTGATGGGACTTAAACATGTGTCTAAAGTTCAGCTTGCGTTTGAGCACTTTGCTGAACAAAGGTTGATTTAAACAGATGCTTAACAGCTTTATTGCCCAGGGGCAAAAGAACTGTAGAAACCAAGCCTACATTTAATAATGTTTCTTTTGTGAAATGGCAATACACTAGTATTGACGCACCCAGAATCAAATTTGTCCCTGGTGTCACTCCATGGAGACCTAACAAAATTGTGGGATGAATTTGGTTCCCTTTATGAGCATGAGAATACATTTATCTAGGCTCTGGGATAGACTGTTGGCTATGGTTCCTCTACACCTTATATGCAGGAGTTTCTGGCCACCAGATCTGCATAACTGGGTCTTCTCCTCTAGCTTCCTCCTCAGTATACAGAAAGTAAAATCAATTCTGTTTTGGATTTCAGAATTTTGCACTGATAGCTTCCTACTATACCTGCTGTCTGAGAAGGTCTTTCACATCTCCCAGTATTTGGTTCATTTGCATCATTTGACTCATTAACTGCCTATTGAAATCACCTGTAAAGACAGAAATTAAAGAGAAAAACACAGAGTAGCATTTGTTCATTTTCCAGTACTATTGCAGAAATCCAGAAAGAAGTCAGTCTAAAAAAAGAGTGAAAGTAGGTAACTCATTGTATCAGCCATATGAAATCACATAGTAGAGATCATAATAGAGAAATTAAGGGCTGGAAGGGACCATGAAAGATCATTGAGTCCAACCCCCTGCTCTGGGCAGAAATACTGCCGAGATCAAATGATCCCAGCAAGGTGTCTGTCCCGTCTCCTCTGGAAGATTTCCAAGGCTGGGGATTGCCCCACCTCCTTGGGAAGTCTATTTCAGATTCTGATCATCTTTATCATAAAATAGTTCTTCCTTACATCCAACCTGAAACCATCCTCTAACAGTTTATGGCTATTGCTCCTTGTCCTCCCCTGGGGCACCCTAGTGAACAGTTTTTCCTCCCAGCTGCCAATATTCACCCCCTAAATGCTTATAGACTGCCACCAGGTCCCTGCTCAGTTTTGTCTTCCCCAGGCTGAACAGTCCCAGATCCCTTAGTCTTTCCTCATAAGGTTTGTCCTCCAGGCCCTTGATCATCTTGTGGCCTTCTCTGGACTCTTTCAAGATTCTCTACATCTTTTTTGAACTGCGGTGCCCAGAACTGGACACAGTACTCCACCAGCTGGGGTCTCACCAACACCGAATAGAGAGGAAGTATCACTTCCTTAGCCTTGTTTGCGACGCATCAGCTAATGCATCCCAGTGTGCTATTAGCTCTGTTGACTAGTGTTGCACTGGCAGCTCACGTTCATTCTGTGATCGACTGTAACCCCAAGGTCCCTTTCAGCCATTATGCTGGCCAAGACGTCTCCTCCTAACCTATACTCATATTGCAGGTTACTTCTCCCCAGATGAAGCACTGTGTATTTATCCTTACTGAACTGCACCTGGTTACATTGTGCTTAACGGAATGCTTAATGGAAGCATAGCATCTATTTTTAAATTTTAGCAAAGCATCTGTGTGAACACGGTGCTCTTCAAAAGTACTAGACCGCTATACTTATTCTGGGCTCTTTGCCAAGTCTAAGTATATGGCAGTGAATACTGTTTTACTGGCTGTAATGAGACTGAAACCACCAACTTTAGTTAAGGTGATCATGTTTTCAAAATAAAAAAGAGACACATTGAGGCATGTTTTTTATAGTCACAACATAGCCATACATAAGAAAAAGTTTCTACCTCAACAGCAACACAAGCACACGTCTCAGACGACTTTTTCCGGTCACTTAGTGTCTTGAATGAGTTTATCCTGATGTTCTGGTCATGCGTTAATAACATTCACTTGTAATGAAAGAACAGCTTTGATAGCATCTAGGCTTATTTGACCCTTCCTTCCAAACTCTATTCATCACTCTAAAGACTATTTCCATGGAACTGTTTGTTCCCAGTAAAGAAAAAGCATGTTCTACTCAGCATAGCAAAACATTGTGAAAAAAACATTAATTAAATGAAAATGGAAATACTTCATGTGTCTTTAAACAAATGTCTAGGAGACAGGCTATCATGTGCAAAAACCCCCATCAAAAACAGGACTCTCCTAGCACCAGGGCATATGATTACTTTAAACCTTAAGCCCTAAAATAGTATCAACAACTATCCCTACCCACCTGATTCACATCTGAACCAATAAGTGAAACATATGGCCCCCTCTACACATTATATCTATTGCACAATTGCCTTGTTAATTGCAAAATACATTTCAACTGGCTGCGCATGCAAATTACCTATTGCACCTTAAAATGGTCCAACCACCTATACAATTATTGCTCGAAAATGTGTAATAACCTTATAGCTGGTTTCTATCAGCTTTTATTTGCACTATGTAGGCAGTCTGAAGCTGGGAAACCACAGCTGCTGCAGTCCCCTAGGTGCTGAGGAGCACAATGAACAACCACAGCTAGAAGACTGCAACCAATGAGGTCTCTCAGTGGCAGGGGTGCAGGGCAGGGCTGTGCGAAGCTTCAGTTTGGTGAAGATTCGGCCCAATTCAGTGGCCGAATCTCCAAATCCAAATTGAATCAGAGGACCTTTTAATCTCTCCAGATTGAATTGGAACCCTCCAAATCAGAGAAATTTGGAGAGATTTGGTGATTTGGCCATAGACACAGCTTTAAATGTTTTTTCTACATGCCTCTAGGTAGCAGGCAGGGGCAGGTCCCCAGCACGCTCGGAAGCACACTTGGAAGTGGACCAGAAGCACTTTCAGTCCACTTTCAGGTCCACCGGAGAGTACGCAAGAGGTTCCCCTGCACTTCTGTGGGGTGCTCCATCTGCCCCAGCATCGCAGCATTCACAAGCCATGCCTGGTACCTTGAGGTATGTAGAAAAAACATTTAAAGCTGTGTCTTTGGCCAAATCACTGATTCTCCGAATCAGCACCGAATCAGGGCCAGTGATCTGAATCAACAAATCAAATCACTGTCCCCAATTCAGGCCGAATCCAAATTGAATAGGGCCTGTTTTGCACACCCCTAGTGCAGAGACACTCCAGGCAGTAACTGGGAGATCACAGCTGCTGCAATCTCCCAGCCCTGGGGTGTTTCAGGCACCTGTGGCTGGGATGCCACATCAGTGTCCTGCAGCTGTCAGGTGCAGGGATTTTTGATCCCAGCTGCACCTCATGGGCAGCCAGGACCGAGAGCCCTGTCCGGTGCAGGACTCTTGGTCCCAGCTGCACATGGTCCCTGCATCTGGGAGCCTCCTTAGTAAAGGAGCCCCCTACATGGACAACAAGGTGTGACTGAATCTAACACCCAATCCCACCATCGTACCTCCTGCCACGCACACACGTGGCTCACCCAATAGATTCAGTCATGCCTTTTACTTGCACGTGTAGAGGGGTCCATAAGAATCTGCTATAGCATGGCACTGATCTATCTTTGTGTTACTGTTTATAATTCACAACTGAGTTGACCTACTCAAGAGAGAACTCATCTAAAGCATTCTGTTACTGCAACTTAAATTTAAGTTGTCAAAGCAGGACTCGCATGTTTTGCATTCTAGGAAGGCAGAATATTTAGGAGTTATGCTAAATGGCTTCTTGCAGGTTTATCTGTTCTAGTAGAGAATACTCCCATTAAGAATTTGTTTAATGGTGTTTACTAAATTGTTTTGTTCTTGAAAGCATTTCTATATTGTTCCCAAATATGCTGGAGGCCTTGACCATTTTCTCAGGTATTGACCGTCTCCTCTTCATTTCAGATTTTTCTCACTGAAATAATAAACAAGCTGAAATAACCTGGAACTGCAATAATCATTAAGCTTTTGTTCTAGTCACAACTTTTATTGTTTTGGGAGACAATATCTTGTGCTGTTTCAAAAACAGTTAAGACTAGAACTTGGTATGCAGGATGTCAGGCCAGACATAGACAAAGAATTGGTTTAGTTATTATTGATTACACTCTGCAGAAAAGGTAAAATTCTAAAGGTTTCACATGTTTTTTTGTCAGCCAACCTTTAAATCAAAACCAGATCAGTTTGGAACATTTTATTTTTATATATCATTAAACATTACGGTGGACCACTAGATTTTAGTGTCATGAATTGTACACAGTTTTGAAGTGTTTAGTATCTGAATTTGCAAGAAAAATGGTGCTTTTCATTGTAATTTTTCATCTACATTTAAAGCCAAATCCCTAAGTAGACCCTAAGTGCAGCAGGAAGTCTGAAGTCCCAGTGCAGGAAACAGGCATCAAGGAGGTTTTTTATGAGGTCTCTCAGCCACTGCTGCAAAATAGCATTCTGTGGCAGCTTGTTCTAGGAGGGAGCTGGGGCAAGGCAGATGTAATCAGGGGGTATGCAGTTGCATTCATCTACTAGCCAACCCTTTGCCCTCCCCCTCTCCCACCATGCTGGGAAAAGATTAACATCTGGATCTGATTCAGACTGTGTCCAGCTAAACATTTTGAGTCAATAACCACTTGGTTGTCATGACAATGGTTATCATGGAAGCTACGAAATCTGGAGCTAAACTTGAAAAATTATCAACCACATGGAAACCAGAGTCACTCAGAATAGTCATTGTTGACGACTCCAAAACTATATCAAAGACGAATAATGAGCTCCATTTAACAATCCCATCCCCATCATCTCCAGAACTCACATTCTAAGTAAGTTCATATATTCCAAGAAGATTTTGGATGAAGCAGGAGACAATCTGTCTCTGTGGCATTTCTACACAGTGCCATGCAGGGATACAAGGACTAGTTCAGGTACCAAAAAGCAGTCTAGTTGCATCAGCATAGTGTTCTGCCCAGGCTAATGTACCCTGCTTCTCAGCACAATCAATTAGCACCCCACAATAACAGGGATCTATTGCTTAGGCACCTCTGCCTAACATTGTACTGTGTCATGTAAACGTACCCTTTATGTCTGAATCAACCACCTCCATAACTATCTGGTGATCGTGAGCCAAGCTGAATGCCCATCTGAGGATATCTGGACCACCAAAGTCCTACCGTGCCTTTCAGAAAGGTGCTGTGTATTCACACAAAAAACCTCTATTATGCTTAAATATGGATGATGGTAATGGTAACCAATTCTTGCTGTTCTTTGTTGGCCAGCAGCCCCACTACCACTGGTCAATGAGGCTAGTGGGTCTGTAATTAAATGCTAAAACCTAATTCCATCTCCTAAAAAAGGTCAGTTTAGCACTGAATCTTCTTGACTACCATGACAGGGCCTGGATGTACCTCCTCAGCCTCTGTTTAGCATCACCATATTCACTGCCCAGGATCACAGGAGCATTGTTCAAACCTCCTGCCCTCCTAAAGGGTATATCAAAGGAGTTCTGATGCCACAGCTGTGAGTAACGACTCCCAGTAGGAACATCACTAAGGAGGGGGTAAATGAAGCAGGGATGGGGCGCAAAAACAGCTGCCACCACAGCTGCACCACCTGGCTGCACTGCTGCCAATGATGACACAGCAGCTGGCTCTGCCCTTTGCAGAACTGCTGCCCTGCTATACCTCTGATTCCCAGAGCAGTTTGTCAAAGCCACATACAATACTTAATAAGCTCTCCAGCACTCTCATGTACCTCCCACTAATACAAGAATACACGCACATCCACTTCTCTCTAAGAGTCATCAGTATTATATCCTTCAATAGCTGAGCATTTCCTTTCCTGTTTTTTCTGGTTAATGTAAAGTCTTGTTACTTGATATATTACTGTAGTAAAGGCTACACCATGAAATGTACATGATATGCAAGGCACCTGAATTAATATTGCTGTTGGATCATTTGTATCTCCCTCCGATTTTAACCATGCAGACTTTTATTACATTAACAGAGGTGTTTGCATTCAAAATGGTATTAAGCCCATTTGAAAGCATATACCTGCTTGAAAACAGAGGACAGCCAAACCCTATAAAAGATGACATCTAACTGCCAAAAGAAACAGGGAAGTCCTTCATCTTCAAGAGGCCAAGAGCGAGATTTACAGAAGGGAACAACCTCAGGATGCAGTTTGGAAATTCTGCTCACTGTGCTGTGTGTCAATACCCAATCACTCTGCTGAAGTACCTGTAGATGAGTGCCAATTTAGGGGAAAGCAAGACAAACTTTTCATCATAAACCTCTTAACATATCTGTACCTCTTGGGAAAAAAAATATCTGGAAACGTAAAAAACTTGTCACAGAAGATTTATTTATAAAGCTAAAAGCAAAACATAATACAGTACTGCAATTTAAATGATTAAGGCTGTGGTTTTGCCTGGAGGAGAAAGGCAAAAGAGGGTTTGTAATAGATCCTATATTTTCATACAAGAAAATCTTAGATCTTAGAAATTGCCTTTTTGGTTTTACATTTGTCAAGAAATGTTACCTCAGCTGCATGTTCTACTATGCCCACCCCCAGGCAGCTAAGAAACCTATCACAGCACTGAACCATTTTATTTTCCCCTGTCTACTCCTCCACCTGTTGCAGCCTAGGACAGAATCACAGCAACCTTTATTCCAGTGGGGACCAATCTTCTTTGCAGGTATGCCACATATTAGCCCCACACTCTCCCCAAGTGCCACTTCAATCCACTTCCCCTGCCTGATCAACTGCTCTGCTTTCTGTGCTACCTCTTTGTTCTGCTGCTTTGCTGTCTATTTCACATCCTGTGCTTTCTGCCTGATCTGCTACTCTGTTTTCTGCTCCCTCTCCCATCCCCTATCAGCCATTGTGCTGCCTGCCCTCTCCCCAGTCTACTGTGTGCTACACAGAGGCCGTCCATGCCACTTGTGATACACCCCTGCCTTATTCATTCCGTTTCCCCTGTTCTTCACACTGTATCTACAACCCATACCACAGGCAGGAAAAAAAACAACCTGTTTGAAGCAGGTTTCCTATCCCTCAGCTGAACAAGGACCTCAGCTGAAGAGCACCTCTTCAAACAAGAAAAGCCTGTTCTCAGCCAGCATGGGCTCTCTCTCAACTCTGCCAGTGAACTGCAGTTATTTTCCCCCACTTGTGATCTTTCCTAAATATTTTTATGATACCATCTTGGCTGTAATTCTCTGTGGTTGCCCTCACTCATTTGAACAGTTTCTTTCAATGTTAGCAGCTATAATAATTGGTTCCCTGGGATGATGGCTTAAAGAGGAAAGAATTATCTCTGGACTATGCTTACCTGTGTACTGAACTGCAGGCTCAATCTGCTGAAGAAAGCAATCTTGAAGACTTCCTACTTGGGAAAGGGAGCCCCTCACAACCAGCTTGAGCTCATCCAAAATGTCCTGGAAAAACAAAAGAAATGAAGAGTATCTGTCTATGCCACAACAAAGAATCAAATGTGCAATCTCAAAATGGGGTGAGTGACTTAACTGCTGGGTGAATAGCTCTAATTCACTGAGATGCAAGTTGGCTTCACAGTCATGTTACTGTATCTCCAAAGTGCACATCCATTCTACAAAACTGTATGGGGAGCAGAGACTGCCATCTGAACTGTATAAAATCCAGAAGGTTTGCCCACACAGGTATTTTTTAACCATTTTAATTCAAGCACTTCCAGATATTTTTATACAAAAAATGACTATTTCTCTGGTGGCTTCACTGGAAAGACTTTTTTTGGCTCAAAAACAGGTTCTGATTCACTAAAAAAAGGTGCCTTAGCAGCTTTCCTAGAAAAAAAAGCTCATTTTCATGTCTGTAATAAGGAGAAATCACTCAGTGGGCAAGTAATTTTGCATGCCGTTATCAATATTCTGCAATGACAGAAGCAGCTCATGCTGTGTGTGTATATAGAGGATATTGCTTCCCTGGGATGGTTGATTTGGAACCCTCAGCAACATGCATCAGCCCCACAATTGGTTACAGATGAGGTTGTACTGTAATCACATCCCATCACCCCAGCACCAGTGGGATGCTTCATATTCCCTCATTCCAGTTGTCACACAAAATCCTCATCTCCATATCCTCATATGAACATACACTCAACACGCAGACAGTCCAAGCATGGTTTCTTCTGGAAATCTGCAGAAAGCCAATGCAGAGCTTACCTTTGCGGTAACAATTTACGAATAATCTGATTTCCAAGTAACACCTAGACAAAGGCCCAGTTTACACTAGGCTGCCTCTGCTCCCAGAAGTTCTGGTGACAGACAGTAGTTACCAGAATGCAAGCATACCCACACACTTTTGGGAGCTCTATGAAGCTCTACCACAGCGGCTGTGCTGCCACAGTTAAAGTGCACCCTGATGAGGGAAGAAGGGGGGTGGAAGGTACCAGCTGCTGATGAGATTGTAGAACAGCAGCCTTATTGCACTCAGCAGAGGTGGAGTTACTGCCAGCAGAGCAGAAAACCTGCTACCACAGGAGACCTTGAGTATGAACACACCCAAAGTTTTGCCACCCAAATTGGAATTTGGGACAGGGAGGCCTGTCTCTCACCCTGCACAGAGAAAACCCATCCTGTTACTCATTCATTCTCCAGATTATTTTTCTCACTGTTAATGCACCTTCTTGCCTACTGTAGTTGCTGCAATAACAGGGGACTAGACTTGATGAGCAAGAGGCCCCTTTCAGTCACATGTCTGCATATTTTAATTGCTCTGCTCTTTAACTTTCTGCACTCACCTGTGCCTTTCTCTGTAGAGTACGTAATTCCACAAATTCTGGACTCTGCGATAGACCTGAAAATGCTTTTGGTAGATCCTGAATGACATCCACCTGCATGCAGTCCACATACATTTCTACTTTGCTTGATCCCCTGTGCAGGCCGCTCAGCCTCAAGAGGACTGCGTGGCGTTTCCCGTCAGCCAGCTGGATATTGTTGAAGATCACAGAGTTTAACCTTCCATCACTCCTCAAATAACGGAGGGCAGCTAGTTATTTGAGAGAATACAGAGATACAGAGAATACAAAATACAGATAATGACTACTGCAGGAGCTAATTGAGCAACTCCACAGTAAATGTCTTCTGTAGACGCACCCAAAGTGTGCATCTACAGAATGACTACCCAATAGTAACAGAAGGCAAAGCATAAACTGGAGTTATTGTTTGAAAACCTGAGTGGCTGCTGAATGGAAGATCATTATGGATACTTGTCACTGCTCTAGTATGTTTCATTATGTCTACTTGGGCAAATGGATTGTATATGCAAATATGTAGAGAAAATAAATTTGACACAGAATCACAGGGCAAGATTGACAAGAACTCTTGATCATTTCCCGGCTGGTGATGCATTGTTGCCTACAGAATATGCTCTGCTTTGTCCAGGCCAGTTTTAAGTGATTCAAATGATGGAGCAAATGTCACTGTAACACGGGGTATTGCGATAAAACACAGTGACAGTGGAGCAGTGTTTAACTGTCAATCTGCTGTTAGCCGTCAGCAAGATTTATGCCTGACATTCCTAAAGTTATTCTGCCACAAATTCATAGCTAAAGTGAAAATTTTGATAATGAATATAGCTTGCTACATAGACTACCAGCAATTGTGTACTCAAATGCACCATTAAAAGGAACAGAATTCAACAATGTTCCCCTTTGCTTCACTATGATAAACAGAAAACGTACACAGATTTATCAGAAGACAACCGGAAGAGAGGGTTACATTCTTTTTTCTTTTAAGGCTCTCTCATAATGAACAGTCAGATGCCCAACCCACCTGACCTACATATCTGCCTCCCATAATAAACTGCACCTCACACATATGCACTCAGTATTAAATTAAAAAAATATTATTGAAAATTATCCTAAAAATGGGTCATATTATATATAAAAATCTTCTATGAAAACTGAATTTGCAAAGTATCATGAAACTTTACCTACTGGTCAGTAATTACCATCAACTATTACCTGCTAATCCTCCCCCTCACAAAATCTCTTATAAGGGGTATGATAAAGTCCTTATAAGGTCCATGACACCAACTGGGAGAGCATATTCACAGAGCTTATAGTTTCTTTCAGACTTTAAAAATATTTCAAAGATCCCACTGGCCTTAGTTGGACTATTCACTAAGACATGAGGAAGGGTATTTGGCAATATTCAGCATAAGTTTGGAAACCTGGAATTTTTTCTGGTGGTATCTGTAACAGGGCCTAGCCACACCATCGTGTGTCTGAGCCACCTCTGGCTCAGGACAGCTTCCCCTTCCACTCATACTGGAGACATATGCAGCTGGACCACAGCTGCACAGGCTGGCTGGAAGCCCTGCGGTGGGCACAACTGCAACAAACAGCCCCAGCTGGGGAAGAGCCCCCAGCTGCAGGCAACTGGAAGCCTGGCTGCCCCAGCAGGGCGGAAGGGCTCACCCCAGCACATGCAGGTTGTTGAGAGCAGCCAGGAACAGCTGCATGATCCATTCTCTGGTGTGGGGAGCAGGCTGCCACCAGGAGGGACACGCAGGTGGCGTGATTCCTGGGCAGGCTTTCCCTCGACCCAGTGGGAACACTGCCACCAGCCCATGCCTAGGTCTGGGCTGCTGGAAGCAAAGGACCCACAACACACAGCATGGACAGTGGGGACCACAGACAGCAAGCACAAGGTAAGTGCAACCTCTTTTCTTTAATCATTACTATTGATTTAAGTTCTAGACTCTGGGCAGGAAGCCTAGGGACTGGGGGAAAGCCCGTAATTCCAGGAGCAAGCCTCAGGCCAGCTACCTAGGAAGGACAGTGTCTGGATTCGTGGATCCTCAGCTGAACCTCTGCAGCTAGAGTAAAGGGGTCAAAGGGTAGTGGTACACCCAACCCAACATGCCAGCAATGCCCTCTGGGGCCATGACTACCTGGGTGGTTCACAGTATTCATAATATCAGTCACTTTGGGTGCATCTACAGAAGACATTTACTGTGGAGTTGCCCAATTAGCTCCAGCAGCACAAGCCTCCTCTTCTACATGTGTGGCCCTATTAGGCCACAGAAGACTAATAAACTCTGCAGTAGGTTAGTACTTCTAAATACAAGTACTATCCTGCTGTGGAGTTTTTTTGATGCGTAGCAATGCACGTCTAGACACCAACTTCCCTGGATAGGACATGAGGATGTTCCAGTGTAGGGATTGCCAGGAAGCTAGCCCAGCACTGGGGCACCCTCGTGCTGCGGCAGGACTGGCTGGAGCACACTGAGCTGGGTCAGAGCAGGCCCAAGGCTGGCAAGCTGACCCCGGCTCCCCTGCCAGCCAGGGCTGCTCTGACCTGGTATCCCATGTGCACGTGTAACTGCAGTGCCTAGAAGCAATAAATTCTGGCACAATGTGCACCAGAATTTATTGCTGCACATTAATATGCATGCATAGATGTGCCTTTTGATTGAGAAATCCAGATATATGCAACCACAGATTTCCCAAAATCTTAAGAAGGTAACATTCACCTCAAATCTCTTCTCAAATCAGGGCTAATTATATATATATGCAACACTTATGAACTTCTTTTCTCCTTTGAAATCAGCACCCCACAACATCTTATTGCTTTTATTAGATGGTTGTAAATGACCCAGTAGGTTAGTCTAGATAAAGCAGAAGAGCTTGATGTCACATGAGGATGGAGCTGCTAAAATACTTCCTACTAGGCCTCTGCGAAGCAGCAAGTATTTGCTTCCGATTCAGATTTGGCTAATTCACAAGGACAGTGATTCAATTCAGTGATTCAAATCATGGTCTCAGTTTGATTAGGAGATTTGGCCATAGACTATACAGGCAGTAGTCCTTGACAACACTGGACACAGCTGCCTCCAGCTGGTAAGTCTGTTGTGGTAGGCAAAGTGGGGAGGAAAGTGGGGGGCAGATCAATGTCCCCACAGCGAGGGAAGGATTGGGGCTGGGACAATCGATTCAGATCTTGTAATGGGTCTCCTGATTCAATTCGGATTTGGAGATTCGGCTGCTGAATCGGGCCGAATCTCCTCCAAGTCAAATCAGCTACCAAAGCTTTGCATAGACCTACTTCCTACACATACAGCAAATTGGAACAATGTACATATTTTATACTAATAAACAAACAGTAGATGGGTGCTTACATTCTTTAGATCCCTGCAGATAGTAATCTTGAGCCTCCTAGTTGCCATTTCTTCTGTTATTTCAATTCTTCGCGCTTCTTTATATTATTTGAGATTCTTTATTTCACTCCCTTCCTGATGTGAGCTTCCCAAGCATTTCTTAACCTTAGAAGTTTCCACTGACACCACACTGATATAATTTCTTGTAACCATTTATTTTCATTTCCTTAACACAGGGAGACAGATTTTGCTCACAGTTCCTCCAGCGTAAATCCACAGGAATTCCACTGAGGCTGATAAAGTTACTCTTGATTTATATTGGTGCATACGAGGCCACCAACTATCCATATGTTATTTGTCATCTGTGGAAAGTTCATTAATGTCTCACTTATTTTAACAATTGCCTATGTCAAGGGTGCTCAACCCCTGGCCAACAAGCCATATCCAGCCTGCGGAGCCATGTCATCCTGCCTGTGGGGCTCCCCATGAGGCTGAAAATCTGGTGACAGGGGGAGCTGTGGCAGCAATTACTGCTCCCCTGCTACCAAATTTTTGGACACTTAGAGAGCCCCATGGGGCAGATAATGTGGTCCTGCATGCTAGATCAGGTGCGCTAAGACAGGCAGAAGTGGCATGGGGCCTGATCCAGTGAGCTGGGCCAGGCTGAGGCAGTGTGGGACTAATAGGGGCATGCAGAGGCCAATCCAGGTGTGCAGTGATGGGGGAAGGCCATGCAGGGACAGATGGAGGCAGGGCAGGTCTGATCCTGGTGAGGCAGCACAGAGCCCAATCCTCATACCCAAGGCTTGATCTGGCTTACAAACCAGCCTCATGTCATACATCTGGCCCATGGGGCCAAAAGGTAAAGTACTACTGGTCTATGTCAAAAAACAGCCAGATGCGAGGTTTTCTCAGACGTGCCTGAAGTCACCAGGAACTTGATAAAAGGATGACTAACAAACACAGAAGGTTGGCTAATTGCAGTACCTTGCAGGCTTTCAGCTCTGTGCATATTGTGTTACACCATGAGCATATTAAATCAGAATCCTTGGATTTGGGCAGTATATTCAGAGACTGACCCACACAGCAACAGCTCGGTCAGAAAGAAATACAAGTTTCCCTCAATTTATGTGGGTTCGATTTATGTGAATTTGCTCTTACGCAATGACCCTTTTCATACCTGAAATTCATTATATGTGAGGTAAATTCACTGTTATGCAATTGGCATAGGTGCACGCCCCCCTCCCCCAAGCAGGTAAGTCTGTGAGGGGAGAAGAAAGGGCTGTGAGCAGAGGGTAGGGGTCAGGGAAAGGGAAAGGGCCATGGGGCTAGGGCTCCACTTATCGCAGCCCCTGCTGCAGCTACTCTGGGAGCAGCTAATGCTAGTGGCTTGCAGTCGCTGGGCCATACCATGCCCCTGACCCCCCAGGGCTCCACTTCCCCTGGGGCACTGTTCCCCAAACCCCACGGTGTGGTGTAGCCCAGCAGCTGTAAGTAGGCGGTGTCTGCCACTCCCAGGGCTGCAGCAGGGGTGGGCAGCAGCCTGCAGTGGGAGTGGCGGCACCAGGCTCTTCCTGGCACTCAGGGTGGGCTGTGGCAATGGGAGGGGGGCTGATGTCACTGCCAAAATTCACTGTAGCCCCACCGCAACCTGCCCTCCCAGCACCACTGCCAAGTGGTGGGAAGAACCTGGTGCCACTGCTGGCCCCATCTTGCTCTCGTCCAGTTGCAGGCTGCTGCCTGCCCCTGCTGCAGCCCTGGAAGTAGCGGATGCCGCCTGCTTGCAGCTGCTGGGCTACACTGGCACCGGGTGGTTCAGGGCATGGTGCAGCCCAGCAGCTACAAGCAGCTGGTGTTAGCCACTCCCAGGGCCACTACAGCAGGGGCTGCGGTGAGTGGTGAGAAGCAGAACAGTGGGGTGAATGGGGAGAAGTGGGGTGAGTGGGGCTGCCACCCACCCTGAGTACTGCAAGGAGCCTGGTGCTACACCTGCTGCAGCCCCAGGAGCAGCAGACAGTGCCTGCTTGCAGCTACTGGGTTGCACTGTACTACTCTCCCTAGCCCCAGCCTCACATCCTCCCTCACCACAGTGGGAACACATCACTATCTGTTTCATTGTAAACTGGGTTTGCTTTTATGCAAATTTGATTTATGCTCCGCTCCCTGGGAACACATCTACCGCATAAATTGAGGGAAATCTGTATCTACTACTTCCCCCAGCTTGGTGTCATCTGCAAACTTGCTGAGGGTGTACTTCATCCCACCTTCTAAGTGTCCTCATTGGATACAGAGCAGAAGTAATCCACAGAACTATTTCGGTCTCTGGACAGAACATCAGTTTAGCTCAGTTGAAAATGTAGATATACTTAAAATAGTTTAGCTTTTACGTTTATTAATTTGTCTTGGATCACTTAGAGTGATTTACATTAAATCAATATCAAGAAGAATTAAACCAGTTATCTACATTGATGTTAGAAATTTTCATCAGTCCACCTATATTGATTTAGTTAAGTTAGCGAACCTTTCTAGTACTAACATGACCTCAACACAGACTTAGCAAATAAAGTGGGGTGGAAAAAAAATCACAGCTAGATATTGTAGATGTGCACATATTTACAGTATTATTTACAAAGACAAAACCAGAATAAGTGCAAAACATGCAGAATCCAGTTTTCAGACATGGCACAGTAATAAGTAGGTCCTGGTTTTGGTTACATAGATCAGCACTTGGGTATATAACTTGAAGTATTATCTACATATGTGCAGATTCAGAAGTCTACATGTCTAGCTTTCACCACTTATTTAGGTCACCATATTTAACAAATAGTTCCATAATGCAGGTAAAAATCTAATCTGTGGAATAGTAAAACAATGTCTAGAACAGTGTTTCTCATTCTTGCAACTCACAGGTTAGATGAAAGGGTTGTGAACAAACTTAATAAATGAATCAAGAAACTTTAAAAATGGATTTTCCTTAAAGAAAGAGAGAAACGTGGGAAACCATGGTTTTTCCTTTGCAGGCTGTCAGAGTTCCATCCTGCCAGGGACTGCTTGGGGCCCCCCCATGCTCCACACACTGGTGCACTGAGACCTGGGGGCAGGAGCCAGTGGGTCAGAAGTGAGGGCACTGGGTCGGGACTGGCCACTGATGTTTACAAATGGGTCCTGGTACAAAAAAGGTTGAAAATCTCTGGATATTATGTATAATTCCATATTCCACACCATCAGCCAACAAAGGTGTGTAACTAAGATGGGGTATGCCAATGCTTCTGCTAGGAACAAAGCTGGAGGTCCCTGACTAAAGGGTCTTGCCCCTCCACTCAGGGTCAGACTGATCACCATATTTGGTGTCAGGAAGGAATTTACCCCCTGGTTGGACTGGTATGGACTGTGGGAGTTTTTGCCTCCCTCTGTAGCAGGTGGTGTGGCTCTCTGCCCAGGACCTCTTGAGTGTATATTGACAACATTTTATAGAAGCAGGACATTGGCTGCCTTGGTTCCCCTGCTTACCTATGGCAGGTTAGGGTGTTAGGTCTACTTTGTGCCAGGGTTGATGGCAGTCTTATGTAGAGTTTAGATTATGGTTGTATGGGATGGTTTGGATTGGGATGATCCTACCTCAGGCAGGTGGTTGGACTAGATCAGAGGTTCCCAACCCCGAGGGCCGCGGCCTGGTACCGAGCAACAAAGTATTGGCTGCTGATCCACAGAAGGGTTGGCTGTCAGACCGGAAGTCCAGAAGTGACTGGCATACTGTGTAATGGCAGCCAACACTGAGTATAAAAAAGGGGTGGCTCCTGCTCCTCAGTATGCCAGTTGCTTCTGAACTGCAGTTTGCTGACCCTCAGTTTGCCGGTCCATGGTTACTTCCAGTCTGTGGACTGGCCCGCAGTCACTTCCGGTCCGTGGTTTGTGATCTAAAACGGTTGGGAACCCCTGTACTAGATGACCGCTGGAGGTCCCTTGCAGCCCTACTCCTTTATGACTAAGGTGAGCTGCATTAGAGGTCCCACTCTAGCCAACTATAAAGCCATTATACAGTGCACTTGACATTTTCAAAGCAATTATGCAGTAGCTTATTATAAAAATATTATACATACATGCAATACACTATAATCTGTTTTAAGAAAGCCACATAAAAATAATATGGGGTCAAACAGATTCCAGTGGACAGCCTTATTTAGGAAGAGTTGTTTCTTCCTAACAAGTCTTTTAAAACCTAAAATGAATATACACTGGTGTTAAATTAACAGCCCTGTAGCCTGAGATTGTCTGTGGAAGGAACAAAATGAGTATGAGCAGAGGCAAAGCAAGTTTCTTTATGTTATCTGTCACTGTGCCTCAACCCCAAACATTTGCAGTTGTGAGAAGTAATGCATTCTCCATGTGTCTTGAATACAATAGAAATATCCTGAGAAATTCAAGGAAAAAACCTATATAAACACGACCTATAAGCTAGTGACAAAAACTGGTGACTGGAAACTGGTTTAAATCTGTAACACAACAGAAGTTCAGTACACATAAACTGCTTTCAAAATGGTCAAAACCAGTTTAAGATAAGTCTGATACTGCATCCATCCAGGTTTAACTTGAATGAATCTGCAGGGCATCTGGGATGGAAGTTCAATAACTTATTTAGGTTAAATCAGTTTCTCTCACAGAATCCAGCATCCCAGGATGCTTTGCACCTCCCTCGCAGGGTTGGCAGCCTAGCTTTGGCCCAAACTGTCTGCTCCAACTGAGCAGGGAGGCGTGCTCTAGCACCCCTTCAGCTTCAGGCCTGGGCCACTGCAGGTATGTGGCTGCATTTCCAGAATCAAAAGTGAATGTCTGTTGACTTACTTATTGGTTCAATCTACTCAGCATAGATTCACCTGCGAAGATTGAATTGATTCAGTCTCAGGCTTTTTGACTCTCTGTTCACAAAGTCTGTTCCGTAATTTATAGTAAGATACATAGCCATGCAAAATAACTGCAAATCAAATCAAGTATACATGTACATTCATGTGTCTGTGTGCACACAGACACATACAGAGTGCCTTATCTTATCATTCTTATTCTCTGACTTCAGGAAAGTTTTGCCAGAACTCAGGTTCAGATCAAATTTTCGAATTAAATAGACCGGGGGGGTGGGGGGAGGTTGCAAGATAAGAGTTTCCCTACATCTAGATAAAAATCTCTCAATAAATTGAGCAACTGCTAAAATGATCTGATTGTATGTGGGGTTTGTGGTCAGATCCTGCTCTGGTGTAAATTACAGATCTTTCAGTGAGCTAGAATAATGGAGCTGTGATAGTTTACTCTAGCTGATGATATACCTCTAGGTGACTGCCAGGTTCCAATACTTTATAATTCTAGGGCAGTATCCCAAATTCCCACATTAAGTTTTGCCTTGAAAGCAGGGAGGGATAATCATGTTTGATATTTAATTGTGTTCAAGTCTATAACTCTGATCCTTAATTAACTGATTCCAATAAAGAAGAACAAACATCTTTCCATCACCCAAGGGATTCTGTGAAGTGATAGAAATGTTTATCTTTCACAGTTAAATCTAACCTTCTGGGTCAATGGAGCAAGTGCCCTTCTTTTTTATGCATGGGACAGCATCTGCAGGTACCAAAGTCCTTAGTAAAAAGACACAGTGATTGTCTCAAGTGGAAAAAAGAAAGGAAAACTACTTATTTCTTTGGGAGTCATTCTGCATTACTGGTTGGCTGGCAAACAGAAGCAGTACCTCCTGCTTCTTGTAGCAGAGAAGTATCAGTACTGTGCACGGAAGCTTATGAGGGAGATAAGTGTTGGCAATATCCTCTGTCTTCCTGAGAAGTGCAATGAGCAAATGATAACTAATGGTACCACATGGATAGATATAAATAACACTAAACAGAATGCCAACACCTGACATGTCAATAACTATGGCTTAAGAATGTAAGCGTTCCCCACCCCCCAAAAATAACTTACCTCTATTCAGCCGTCCTATCACTGTGAATTCAAAATACTTGCTATTCTCAAGTGAAGAGTATAGGCCAAATATGGTGGCTGTACTCTTTGGTTGCAATTTGAATGTTGAGAGCAGGTACACTTCATTCAATGTAGGATCAGCAAGTGTTTGTTGTAGAAAGTTTCTTAGAAGTCTCTGATTGGGATATGAAAGAAGATCAAAAACTGTAAAATAAAAGGATTGAGGAAGTCAGTAAGTATACTGTAGGTGAAATTATAGTATAACAATGACCCAAGGAGTATGTAATCTAAAATTTCTACAGACATGTAATGGGGAAGGATGTTGTCATGTGAATTTATTTAATAGAAAGCTTTCCCACACTTTCCACCCACTCCTGTTCTTGTAAATGCAGGCACCTCATGTTCCAACCAAATCCAAGATCCAAGTCAAAATTTGCATGTAATTTCAAATTTCAGAGCATCGCTTCAAGAATAAATTTTGGTATCCACTGAACTGCAGAGGAGATGGATAAAAACAGCTTGCCTGGCTTTCCAGAAGAGTAGATGATGGGATCTGCATGATGGCAATGTGTTGTGTAAATAGGATTCACATTCTTTTTAGGGTACTAATATCAAAGCAAGGCACAGCAGACTAAAAAGAAACTTGAGGGGTGGCACAATGAAATCTGCTTGAATGTTCTTAACTCTTAAAAACGCTCGGGCCTTTTCTCCTGTTATACACTTCTAAATATATCAAACTGTCTCCCACTTTCCTTTATAAATGCAAAAATATCAGACTGTCCTTTTTTCAACATTTTAAAATCTTCAAATGCTCAGACAACTTGAAGAAACCAAACAAAGCATGCTTTTCTGTCAATGCAATATTGCTCTTTTCCTTTGCTGGTTAACGTTTAGCGTTCTTTAAGAAATCAAAAATATATGGAACAAGAAAGGCTCTTGATAAACCAAACAAACCATGTCACTCAAACTCTTGGAAATCTCATCAATAAACGAGGGATGTCAAATCATTAAAAAATTTTGATTGTGATTAGTTGCACAATTAAAAAAATAGTTGCAATTAATCGTGATTTTAAATCGCACAACTAAAAACTCAAAACTCAAAATTACGCAGAGAAAAGCTTTGTATG